TAGACTCGAATAGCGCTCTGGAGAGGTATTCAAGATAGTCTGGATTTAGAGTGCGCTAAGGGCACTGCACTTTGCCTTTTTAAGAATTGGGACAGTCTTGTGCACTTACTTCCTGTCGCGCGCACGCGCTCTCAAGTGGCCAAGACCGCAAGTGTGGGTATTTGGACAAGGGGGCTGTGTCCCAAAGTGCCTACTTATACTACGCCCTTAAAGTATGTACTTTTTGGTGAAGAAAAAGTACACACTTTTGAGTATGTAGTAGAAGTGTAGGCAAGCTTTGGGACATACTATTACATAATACAATTGCGTATTTAACATATGCTCTGTCGCACCTGTTACATGCACCAAGTCACTGTAAACTGGCCTGTCAATCATCTTGTCACAGTTAACATCCTCCACATTTCATTTAATTTAACTTTCTACTGTATTGGAAAGAAAAGAAGTAGCACGCTGATCTGCCAGCCGTGAGTCTTTCATGTGGAGAACTCTCCTCATATTTTCTGCATAATGATTCATTTAAAAGTTAATGGCCGAACGGTTGGTTATAAAAGTTCATATTGTTGTTGCAGATGAAGTATAACACAGATAACATTAAATAAATATTTTTTACTAGGTTAAATGTTGATTATTAGTAACTCAAACCATCCGTCGGTCACACCATGTTTGTAGTTTTTAACACTTTTTTTTCGTGTTTGTAGTTCTGAACCAAATCCTTTGCCAAAGCGCAATGCATTGTGGGAAATATTAGCCATAGAGTGTGAATAGATCCACACTTCAAAAAACTCTACTTGAAATAGCAGACCATCCAGGGACTTTTGGCATACTCTTTTCAACATGCTATGCTTTGGGACACACTTATTCTAATCTCGCATGCTATTTAGGATGGATAGTATGCACTTTGGGATGCAGGGCTAGTTTCCTAGTGTGGGCCTCTTTGTTTCCATGGTTACCTATTGTTTCCACCTGTTCTTGTTAAAGGGGTCATATGATGCGATTTCAGATTTTCCTTTCTCTTTTCTCTTTGGAGTGTTACAAGCTCTTGGTGCATAAAGAAGATCTGTAAAGTTGCAAAGACTCAAATCCAAAATCCAAAGAGATATGTCTACGTCAAGATGTGGGAAGATTTGCATAACACCGCCCAAATGTTCACGCAAAGAAAGAAGGCGTAACTTTGATTCTTGCTGTAGTATTGTTGTTGCCGTGTGTTTCGTTGTGAAAGCGAAACTACTTTGTTTGTGCCGATCCGATCCGGCTGTGGATCGCCGTTCACCGTGGACGAAGCGGAGTCCAGCCCGGGACCCAAATATTCAGATGTGTGCAGCGCATTTTATGGAGGATGAGGACTGTTTCCTGAACCAGTAGCCTGCAATGCGTCTGTGGCACAAAAGCTGTTTCTATAAAGTGGGGCAGTTCCAACTTAGCAAGGACAGTCTGGTGCTTCTGACTCACAGACTGTAAGTACGTTTTTTATATTTAAATAATTTGCCACTGATGATTCAAACACGAGTTTGAGCAGTGTAGAGTAGCGCTTATT